AATCAGACCTAACAGTGAACCTTCGTCCAATTTACCTCGCTTCTACGAAACCGATGTTGTACCCCAACACTATTCCATTCCTCTGATCTTTCTGAGGTGGTGACCAAGTGACGAGTAATTGCGTAGACGACAAAGACCTAACTTCGATTCTTGTCGGTGGGCCACTGGGTCGTTCGGGATTGGTGATCGCCACCAAATCTTCACTGGCTGAACTCCAGCCGGCATCACCGGCAGCAATCACTCTTAGCAAATATTTGGTGGCTGGTTGCAGTCCGCTCACGAGTGCCGTACGGACGTTACCATTCACCTCGGTCGGGTCCCACCAACCTGTTAGAATATTAATACCAATATTAATAATACTACTAATAACAAAAAAAAAAAAACCAATTCAATTGCATTAAAACGGAGATGTATATGTATAAGCCACTACAGTTAAACAATAACTATATAATTATTAGTGAATTAATAAAGGAATTGAACATTTAAAGTTAATATATATATACATATATATCCGATATTTGACTTATCTATAGCACGCGACTTATAATTTTAACACCGTTTATACAAAACATACGAACAACAAACATTATTCATTAGTTTTCAAACATTATTCGATCGTAGTATACTAGTATGATCGCTTGAAACCCATTTCACTTTAACTACCGATATAATGGCTTCAGAAATTCCCCTCATATTTACACTCTCAATTCATACTTGTTTATATAATATTTTTTTTAGCGTTCAAAGCTTAACCAGACTTACTAACATACCAATGATAGGCGGTACTTGAGGGTGCAATAATTCACCACAATTTATAAAACATTCACCTCGCACCCTCCAAACAACACTTCATTAATCACTATACATTTTACAAAATTACTTTTTTTTCTTAAACTATTAAATATTTGTTAAGTGTTTGATATTTTGCTCTTTACAACGATAAAGTTTAATAATARAATCAAAAAATTAATCAAATATTAATTATTTAATTTTGATATAAACAAAATGAATGATTTGATGAGTAAATATTACAAACGACAAAATCTAACTTTACTTATACGGCGTTATTATGATATTATTATATGGCGCTTTATTATCAAACATTAAGTACTGTATAAAACTAAACAAAATATTTGCCTTATACTATCTCACTCTTATTTAAATATTTTGAGTACTAACTAAAAAGGTTCAAAATAAAAATTGAAATTGAAAAAAACACTGACATCGATAAAAAAAAAAATGTTATAGGTGCACTTCTTAACTGAAGTCTTGAACCATTAATTTTTTTTTTTCACCTCACACTCTGTTTAACAGTGTTGACGGAGCAAAAGTACCACTTTACCTATAATACAACAGAAGAGGCAATTACACCTCATGCCCATTCCTTAAATGCCTCCTACCATAGGAGTCCTATGCAAATATTATACGATATAGTATACCTAAAAATGCATTTAATATACAGCATACGTTTAAATAAGTTTTTTTTTACATAAATACATTTTGCGTGCTTAGTTTGTCAACATAATTTTACGTTCTGTTTTATGTTTTAGGTATTCCACCAATCATTGACTGATCACTATAGTTTTGCAGATCACGAGGTGCACTTTTGTAAGTCTATATAGTAACTATATTTTTACTAACCGTTTTTGAACTAAAACTTTATTAACAATCATGACATACCGTCGGCCTTTTTGTGCTGTACAATATATTTGGATGTTTGGTCGCCATTGTGTTCCCATTGCACGTTGATCGTCGTACTAGTCACAGTGATCACCCTCAARTCATTAGGTCTGTTTGGCGGCTCCTGAACGTACAATTGCACCAATTGCTGGTCTCTGCCGTACATGTTACTTGCTTGACACACGTACGAACCACCATCGTCTACTTGTACGTTGCTGATTTGCAATGAAGCAATAACTTTTTCACCAAACGTTTGTTGTCGTTCTATAAGTCTAAATCGGACAAAACACACAAGTTAAAAATAGGGAAGTATAAAGAATATCTTGCAGAATCTCCTATAAATTACAGTGCATAAAAAATCGGTAAAAACAAAGAGGGATTAACAGCGTTGATTTTGTACAATTTTTATGTTTACTGTATAAATATTTAATTAGACAACTTAAAATAAAATAAGAAGTAAGAACCATTTGAAAAAGTTCAAATGTTTATTTTTCTATCGCTATGAAGAAATTTAATTCGGTATTTTGATAATATTGATTATAATAAAAGTATAGTTTGCTTCAAGTTAATCTTTCAAATAAAAACTTCCAATTTTTTTGTTGACATTCATKGAAAGGACGCATTCCTCAAACTGTATTTCTAATTAATAAGTACATTGTACATTAATAAGTTACATTTTATAAATTGTCAAAGTAATGTATTTTGTATTTTATAATACATACACTATAGTTCTACGTACGTCTGTACACTACACAACTATATAATCTATAAACTTTATTTGCAAAGTAAACATATAAATCAAGTATGGTCTTGAAATGCAAGTTTGTATGGCTGATACAAACTGTATGCTGGCTATGAGTTATTTTCTGTGCAAAATAAATGTAAATATTTTGGGAATTTGTAAAATATGAATATTATACGAAAGAGAGTTGWCTATTCATGAGAAATCTTGACRTTAACTCTMCATACCTTTTTCAATGAGAAGTCCCAAACAAACACAATCGTTAATAAGTTGACTTTTTATAAGAGCTCGAGATAATAATTTATAATATACGCTTACCGTATTTCCAGGAAACAGTTATTATATAAATAGTATTCTTATTTTATAATAATATGTAAGGTTAGGTTTATCAATTTTTAAGTTTTTTATTTTCAGTATTAAAAAATAAAAAATGTAGCGCAAGTGTCTATGAATTATATTTAAAAGAAATTTTTTTAAAATATTGATGAGAACAAAAGTTATTTAATTTGTCAGAATGTCAGAT